CACAAACATACAGGCATATGATGTAGAAAATAACTCCACAAACATACAGGCATATGATGTAGAAAATAACTCCACAAACATACAGACATATGATGTAGAAAATAACTCCACAAACATACAGGCAAATGATGTAGAAAATATGTCTCACCAACATAGAGGCATACGATGTAGAAAATAACTTTACAAACATACAGACATATGATGTAGAAAATAACTCCACAAACATACAGGCAAATGATGTAGAAAATATGTCTCACCAACATAGAGGCATACGATGTAGAAAATAACTTTACAAACATACAAACATATGATGTAGACAAAATGTCTCACCAACAAAGAGGCATACGATGTAGAAAATAACTCCACAAACATACAGGCAAATGATGTAGAAAATAACTCCACAAACATACAGACATACGATGTAGAAAATAACTCCACAAACATACAGGCAAGTGATGTAGAGTCTCACCAACATACAGACATATGGTGCAGAAAATAACTCCACAAACATACAGGCAAATGATGTAGAAAATAACTCCACAAACATACAGACATATGATGTAGACAAAATGTCTCACCAACATAGAGGCATACGATGTAGAAAATAACTCCACAAACATACAGGCAAATGATGTAGAAAATAACTCCACAAACATACAGACATACGATGTAGAAAATAACTCCACAAACATACAGGCAAGTGATGTAGAGTCTCACAAACATACAGACATATGATGTAGAAAAAACTCCACAAACATACAGGCAAATGATGTAGAAAATAACTCCATAAACATACAGGCATATGATGTAGAAAATAACTCCATAAACATACAGGCATATGATGTAGAAAATAGGTTTATAAATATATGTAGCCATATGATGTTGAAAATAGGTCTCACCAACATAGATTCATACATCATCATCATCATCATCACCACCACCACCACCACCTTCATTATCATCACTATCATCATAACAATCATTATCATTATAATAAATGTCATCAAAATCATCATCATCATCGTTTTGTTAAAATGGATACAGTTCTGTATCCCGGAACATCCGAGGTAAAGTATCATCACGAAGTGAAATATATTGATATGTGGACGAGATAAGAGCACTTGTAATTTCAAAATGTAATACAAGCCGCGTCATAATCAAAAGACAACAAGAGATGTGCTATTCATAAACACTTATCCGCAAAACGTGTAAAATAAATAAAGCGAAAGTTCACTACTCGGGTTTTATTATTCGTGATTATATAGCAATGAATCCATTTAATTGATGGAAAAAGGCAATTCGCTTTCCTTCAATTGCTGTTTATATCTCTAAAGAGATCCGATTTCCCTAGGAATTCATTCCAGCGTCGATCGTGCTCTTCATTTACTTAATCAAGTACGCACCTTGCTCACCTGGGACGACTCGATTTGTTTGACTTCATCAAAGATGTGTCCTAGAACCAAATTGATACAAAATTGAAACCAAATATACTAATGGTCTTCGAGATTTAATCGGCAGATAAAATGTAATATCCCAGAGAAAGAGGCTGGATTGTCTGTCAGACGGTGCGTCGTGGTATTAGTTGATTCGTGATAATGACGCTGTCTGACTTATCCGGGGACAAGATCATTAAAACAAACAATGTAGTATAATTATTCGAAAGTAGACAGCACGCAAGAAACCTTATAAGGGATAGAAGTTATATTGAGGCACGTGTCCGTTTCTTGTATCTGTCAGGTAAGAGAAAAACAGAAGGCAGTTTAATGAAGAAACAAAAGAACTGCGTTATTTTCATTATGAACAAATAAGGAACAAACTATCGTCTTTGTTTTCTAAAAGCTCAATTTAATAAAACAAAATTTCTGTGTCAGGTATTTATAGTACTTAAATGAAGCACCGTAAAAAAGATTGATTCCACTATGATATGTACAAAACAAATAGTTTTAAAAACGGTTAAGCCACTGTTTGTTTATTTTCCTTTTCTATTGTTTCACTGGAACATGTATCTTCTTTTTTTCACTATTTTTTTAGAAGTATAATTAAAATATCTAGCATCATTCTCAAGATTGTAGTTTTTTGGCATGGACACCTATATAAAAATCACCACGAAAGGTATACATGTGTACATCACATCTTTAATTAGTACTTATAATGTATTTTATTTAAAAAAATGTGCCATTGTCTATTTAATTAGAACTGGAGATTACAAACTCATGGCGGCTAGTCGGGAAATTGTACATGCAAGACGAGATTAATTATATCCGGATCTCTAAAGTTCATATAGAACACAATTGGAAACTTCCGATACATAATAATTTGCGTGATTCAAAATTAGTAAAACCTACTAAACGCTGCCCGGGATGTTTAACTTGAAACCATGGCAACGGAACGGTAAATTATCGTCCTCGCTATGTTTACGTGGTAAAAAATAGAAGCAGTCAAAAATCAATGTTATCCCGGCCAGAAACATTGATGAGTGATAATTATGGCAAAGCTCTTGTTACAGGTACACCGTAATTTGCCGTTCGGTATGGAGGTATAATTAACTCGTGTCTGTCAGGTGAAATTTTCAGAAAGAAAAAATTGCTGTCCTATAGAAACGCATAGAGTTACAAAATTCTCAAATTCATAACGTAAAAAAAGGATAATAAAACATGAAATAAAAAAGATATAAAATAATAAGCGAAACAATTATAATATTATAAAAAAAAACTAAAATAAGATAAAAAAAAAATAATAAATAAATAAATAAATAAATAAATAAATAAACCAACAAACAAACAAACAAACAAACAAATAAATAAATAAATAAATAAATAAATAAAATCCAACAACATAAGGAAAACAACAACAACAACAACAACAAAAACATCATTAATAGAGTATTTTGGAGCAGAGTGAGTTAACTCACGATTTTTGCATCTCTTCAATACAAATCTTATACACTAAAATATTCATCAGATAAAATTTAATCTAGCACCCAATAAATTGATTTTTTAAATCATTTTTGATAATCAGATAATGATAATACTTGGAATAGCAGGGATTGGGAGAATTGCCGGATAAATGCTGATGAATTATTCATCACATCAATCAGAATAGGTAGCTGATAAAACTACAAAGTTGTATTACGATGAATTATTGAAATTAAACAGTAAATCTAGATTATTCTATAAAGCATATATATTAATATATTTCAAACGCTTTTTTGAGATACCGTCTTTGTTCACGACAGCGTCAAAACGTCGAGGCCAGGCTATGATATACATTTGGTTCCCATCACGTTAGGTAGGTAGGCTACTTTTTATGTTTATAATTTGAAATAATGCTTTGTTTTATTTAGATTGTTCGGGTAGCAGTGGTTGTTGTGGTATGGTTGCAAGAAGGGAAAGAAGCAACATTTTAGTTTAGGCCTGAACAAAGGGGCAAGGATTTCTATCCGGTTACATGTTCATGTAGATAGTTTAAACCGCACTATATTCATCACTTGAGACGACAAAAATGAGCGACTAGATTATCAGCAGAATGTCATGTACCCACGATCGGTGCCAATACCTCACTACTCATGACCATTCTCGGCTCCTTTTGAATACAACATTCTCAATATCTTCTCTTGATTAGGCCAACTCATACTTGATTAGTAGAAGATCTCTGTAACCACCCCGATATTTAGTTTATTTCTGGACAATCTTGGCCCAACCAGACCGACAAAACCGAGGCGGATCAAATACGTATAGCATCATTTAAGGCAGCGACCGAGATAGGAAGTTATCGAATGTGGCAATGTAGCACTCTGACTGGCATACACATATCTGATCATCACTCTGACTGGCATACACATATCTGATCATCACTCTGACTGGCATACACATATCTGATCATCACATATTAATCAATTCTTGAGTTATATCTGGTATTTGCTCAGCTTCTCGAGATTTCGAAATATTCTCGAATATCGATTTTTAGTGTCCAAAAAAGGTAATAATTGCAAGAAAATTCACCACTGAACTGTATATATAGGTAGTCATGATAATGTACAATGCCAAAGAGTGGTCAAGGTACAATAGTACAGAAATCGCTCAATCTTAGATAAAAATCGATTTTTTTCTGGACATGATTGTATATTCTTGTGTATAATAAATGTACATAAGTTCCGAAAACTCCACTTCTTCTTCATGTTTGCTTCTTATGATATACCGATTTGTAGACACTTAATTGTACCGAGTCTTCCGCACTATGCTGCGTCAAAGTGTAATGTAGTATTAGTTATGTCGCTTGAATCTGATAATATAAGAATATGGTTTTTATTAAAAAGTTTTTAAGTTTAAAGTTTAAAGTCATTATATATAATGAAATGTTAATATTTATATTGAATTTAACACTTGAAACGGTCACTTTACTAGACGAGTTCGTCTGATGATAAAGAACATTTGAACATCTATTGATGTGATTTGAACAATTTAAGTTTTTCACGGGTATACACGGCAAAGTGCGAGCAGACGGACAGGTGTTCTAGAACACGACACTCTCTGTATAGCAATATGAGCAGCGTTTTTCACATCTATAGGCTGCTAACCACGTAATTCTCACCCCATAATGCTGACACGGGAATGTCAAATCCCATATTTGAAAGAATATTACCGCGTGGTTTACTGTTGGTCCCTGTTGTTAGATATATGAACATCATTAGCGAACATCTACATTGTCATATAGTTAACTGATACTTGATTTCTCTCCGCTAAATAACAGATAATTGAACAGGCGACCGACAAATCACTAGGTACTGACAGAAATATCGCGTAGTTACTTCCCTTTTGTCATGAATATTCATCTGTTAACAGGCAATGGGACAGATACTTGCACAATTCTGATTGGTTGTTAGTTTTCATATTGTCCCGGTAACCGCGAAGGCTGTTGAAACTGGGCGAGGCGCGTATAGTATTCATCTGTATCACGTAGACGATATGCGGACGTAAGATTAAAGTATATCCCGTTGACAGTAGGAATCGTGACAAGCTTCTAGTTACTCCGATTGCTCCATTGCACGAGGCCCGCGTAGTCATAGTAATGGGATTTTAGAAAATAGGATTTTCATACTAGAATCTCGCATCGATTCCACAGGCCGTCTCTGAAATCACAACTGTCAACTTACTTAAGAAACATTAAGCCTGTTGCGACTTTGTATTGAATACAAACTTAATCTCAAATTTTACAGTTTGAAAAGTTTTTTTTGTAGTTCAATTTTATTTTATATCTTGCATTCCGTTATGTTGGCCCTTGATAAACATGATCAGGAAAGTCAAAGTGGAGTAACTAATGGAATAACTGACGCAAACAAAAAACAAATGTTTGATACATTTCAAACATGGGCGTTAAAAACGTACGGGGACAGTGGTAAAACAAAAACTGTGACAAGAAAGAAATATGAACGAATAGTGCGCATTCTGACTGGAGATGAAGAGCCGAGTACGGAAAATTCCAAATTTCGGTTTTGGGTGAAGGCAAAAGGATTTAAACTCGGTCCCGGGACAGTCAAAGGTCGTGTCCAGAATGTTTTATATGTACCTGTGAAGACAACGGTAAGTTAGAAAAATAATTTTTATAGTTTTGGTTGTCTTAATTATATTTTATCGATATTGTCAATGTTTTAAGTTGGTAAATATTTGACTGTCAGTATGTTAAATTTCGGCATGTTAAGATGAACGATGCGTTCTTATACTTTTTAAGAGAATTAAATAAATAACTACTTAGTATTCCATGTTGAATTAAAAATTTTACTTTTATATTTAATTTTTTGCTTTGAAAATGGACACAAATTGTACAGGGACTTCGTATCATGAATCAGAGATAAAACATGCTTTTATTAATTTATAGAATATTTACTACTGCCTATACAAACATGAACCTTTCCAATATCATAATAATGTAACAAATAATAAAAGTATATATATATTTAAAAAAGAAAAGAAAAAAAAAGGAATAATTTCATTAAACAAGATATTTTATTGGAATTTTGAAAACACTGAATATTTTACTAAACTAGTTTTGTCAAACTATTATCCGAATTTTGTTACAAAATATAACAAAATAATAAAAAAGAAGAGAAAACGTTTAATATTTTCGAGGTTTCATTAAATATATAGGTACATTCAAGTGATATTAAAATTTTATATAAAAAGAATGATCACCTCAAAAGATGTCCTTAAAACATATATAGTTATGTTTCTTGATTAGCTATTGATTATTTTATTACAATTTCGTAATTTATGGTTAATTTGAATAATAATTAATTTGCCAGTTATATGCAGTGTTTATTAGTCCTCGTAACTACAAGCTTCAAATTCATTGAAATTGGATAAAAATATATTTTCATTGGGAGTTGACACTTATAATTAAATATAATCTAAAATGAATACAGAAGGAATTAGTTGTATAATCAGTTTCATGTGACGTATGTAGTGTACATGTATTATCTATGTTATATCTATGTTAATATATAAAGAGTTATAGATTATACAAACAAACACATTTTAAACATGTGCCCTTTTAATGCTGAGGTGAGGAACAGTTTAAGTATAAAGGATTTCAATATTGAACTTTATGAACTAACATATAGGAATCATAAGCATACATACAGACTGCGAGAGGTGGTAGCAGGTTGACTTTTCTATCTCATAAAGTATAAATTTTGACGTGCATTTAATGTTGGAAACTGCCATAAAATGCATCTGATGTTGATTACTAAGATGAAACTGATTACTTCCCTTTTATATACATGTACTTTACTAAATGAATGAATACAGAATGTTTCTGGTTTTAGAGCTAGAGACAATTTTGTTATAAAAGCTAGACATATGTTTGATTGCAGGACTAGAGTTTTTTTTAATTTACACGCGTGATTTTAGGATCAAAATAATACTTATATAGGGCTAGAGATAAAATGAAATTTTCAACTATGGCCACATGGTTGAAGATGTTAATATGTTACCAATTAAGATATATCTTTATTTTAGTGCATTTATTTTATCTAAGGGTAGTGTATAGTGCCAACTTGTCTATATTTAAATATATATGTATCAAATATCTCATTGTTTTTTATATTTAATATACAAAATGAGCAGGTAGTCTGCAGGATATGAAATAAATAAAATAAGACATAAACATTGTAAGCTGTAGAAAACTATATATGACATAATGCTTTACAATATAACAAGATCGTATTTGTTCATCTTAATATTTCACTTTATGTCATATAACTTCCAATATTATGATAGCTTTTGTAATAAGGCAACCCACGTAGTCACGTGATTTTCCTGTATGGTCTAAAGTACTCTGATACTTCATTATAAGTTTCCTATATGATCAGTACATGATTTATTAAATATAAACAGTAAAAAGAACGCTTATTAATAAAGAAATCAACATTACTACATTTTCATTGGCTCAACTTTTGTAAAAAAGCATATTCTTGCAAGAACGCCTAAACTTAGTTGATATGGACCCGGTCTTTGCAAAAGCTGTTTTTCATTTGTCAAACCATAATTGAATTAATTAGTTCAACATGAATTCCATTATTTCGACAAAAAAATTGTATGAAAATCATATTGATTAGCAAAACTTTTAAAATAATCATGATTTGTAATACACATATCTTATCATATTAATTCATTTGGCTAGCACATAATCATACCATGACTATGAGCTATAATGGCTTTGTCAATTGTGTATTGTGAGATTTATAAAAGAATAAAGCTTCTTCTTCATATCATTTTCGTTAAGTTTGAATTGACGAAACCAAAAAATTGCTCTTCATGATTTTTTGTTGCGTAATGATATGTATTCAGCAATTTATACTTACTGCCATAAAACTACAACATTGCATGTATTTTAAATATATCTTTATTTTCTTATCCAAAAAGAAATAAACAGTAGCTGAACATATATATTTTAATTTCTTGTTGAATTACTTTACATATTGCAATAGTAATAAGTAATAAGTAATCTTCCAAATGGCAATAAGGAGTTACATAACATGATGTATATGGCAATAATAAGTTATATAATAAGATAGCAATATAAGTTATGTTACAAGATGGTTATAATAAATTATGTTACAAATATTCCAAATTGCAATGATGAGTTATATCACAAGACGGCATTCATAAGTTATATTGCAAATGGCAATACTAAGTATAATAAGTTATATTACAAGATGGCAATTATATGTTATATTCCAAATGGCAATGATAAGTTATATTCCAAATGACAATAATAAGTTACATTACAAGATGGCAATTATATGTTATATTCCAAATGGCAATGATAAGTTATATTCCAAATGGCAATGATAAGTTATATTACAAGATGGCAATAATCAGTTATATTACAAGATGGCAATTATGAGTTATATTCCAAATGGCAATGATAAGTTATATTCCAAATGGCAATGATAAGTTATATTCCAAATGGCAATGATAAGTTATATTACAAGATGGCAATAATCAGTTATATTACAAGATGGCAATAATAAGTTATATTACAAGATGGCAATTATGAGTTTTATTCCAAATGGCAATGATAAGTTATATTCCAGATGACAATGATAAGTTATATTACAAATGGCAATAATAAGTTATATTTCAAATGGCAATAATAAGTTATATTACAAGATTGCTCTAAAAAATTATATTCCAAATGACAATTATAAGTTATGTAGAACGGTAAATAAAACACATGTATTACCTGAAGAACATAGATCATCTCACGTATAAGCTGAATAAACATGTTTATTATCTGAATAAACGCATGCAGTCACCTATATTACCTGAATAAACACATGTTATCACAAGTATAACCTAAATAAACGCATATAAATACATATACTACCTGAAAAAAAATACATTCCATCAAATATATCACTTAATAAACACAAAAAATAAAATGTATTACAAAAAATAAACAGAAGTCATCACATATATAACCTAAAAAACAACAACAACACAGGTCTTCACATTAAATACCTTAAAAATACATATCTCATGTAGTACCTCAAAAACACATATCAACACATATATTACGAGAATAAACACACGTCATCACATGCACTTCCTAAAATCTAGCCCGAATAAACGCTTGTCACAAATTTTACCTGACTAACCACATGCTGTATAAACTGAATAAACACTTGTCATCACAAATTTTACCTGACTAAACATGCTGTATTACCTGATTGATCACTTGGCTACATAATATTATGCATTACCTGAATAAACAAATGTCATAACATGTATTACTTAAAGATATGCTTTGTAACCTGAATAAACACATGTCATCTCATAAATAACCTGAAATGACTATATGTCACCACATATATTTTTCTGGATAAACACACATAATCACAAGTACTATCTGAATAAAAGTATGTTGTATTACTTAAAAAACACATGTCATCATATGTGTTGCCTAAATAAACACTTGTCATTACTATATTACTTTGAAAACACATATCACCTTATGAATTCACTAAATAAACACATTTCCTTACATGTACTACCCGAATAAACACATGTCCTGACATATATTACTTGAATAAACACATGTCGTCACATGTATTACCTGACTAAATGCATGTCCTCACATGTATTACCTGATAAAACACATGTCCTGACATGTATTACTTGAATAAATACATGTCCTGACATGTATTACCTGAATAAACAAATGTCCTGACATATATTACCTGAATAAACACATGTCTTGACATGTATTACCTGAATAAACACATGTCTTGACATGTATTACCTGAATAAACAAATGTCCTGACATATATTACCTGAATAAACACATGTCTTGACATGTATTACCTGAATAAACAAATGTCTTGACATGTATTACCTGAATAAACAAATGTCCTGACATATATTACCTGAATAAACACATGTCCTGACATGTATTACCTGAATAAACACATGTCCTGACATGTAATACCTGAATAAACACATGTCCTGACATGTATTACCTGAATAAACACATGTCCTGACATGTAATACCTGAATAAACACATGTCCTGACATGTAATACCTGAATAAACACATGTCCTGACATGTATTACCTGAATAAACACATGTCCTGACATGTATTACCTGAATAAACAAATGTCCTGACATATATTACCTGAATAAACACATGTCTTGACATGTATTACCTGAATAAACAAATGTCCTGACATGTATTACCTGAACAAACACATGTCTTTATATGTATTACCTGAATAAACAAATGTCCTGACATATATTACCTGAATAAATACATGTCTTGACATGTATTACCTGAATAAACAAATGTCCTGACATGTATTACCTGAACAAACACATGTCTTTATATGTATTACCTGAATAAACAAATGTCCTGACATGTATTACCTGAACAAACACATGTCTTTATATGTATTACCTGAATAAACAAATGTCCTGACATGTATTACCTGAACAAACACATGTCTTTATACGTATTACCTGAATAAACAAATGTCCTGACATGTATTACCTGAATAAACACATGTCTTGACATGCATTACCTG